GGTTAGTGAGAGGCAGTATAATAAGACCATCTCCATTTTGAAGTAGTACATTTTCGTGTTCTATTACTTCTGCACACTGCCACCCAAAACACATAGATCCAATGGTTGTAAAGATGGGGAGAGGGTCTGTCCAAAATAAAGAGATGCTCTGCTTTTTTTTGACACAACAATCAAAAAAGCAAGTCCTGCAGGCTCTAGTTTAGTCTTGATTATCTTGATTATTGTCCAGTTGTGTGGTCGAGTGCTGCAAGGAAAGACCTAGTTAAGCTGCAGCTTGTCCAGAACAGAGCGGCACGTCTTGCTCTTCATTGTTATCAGAGGGCTAAGCTACCTGGGCGGCAGGTAGCTTAGTGGGTAAGAGCGTTGTGCCAGTAACCGAAAGGTCGCTGGTTCTAATCCCCGAGCCGACTAGGTGAAAAATCTGTCGATGTGCCCTTGAGCAAGGCACTTAACCCTAATTGCTTCTGTAAGTCGCTCTGGATAAGAGCGTCTGCTAAATGACTAAAATGTAAATGTAATATAAATACTATGCAATAATAAAATCTCAAATTGTGTCCATAGTCAACTTACACTCAGCTCTGACACACACACTTACCCCACCAGACATGCCACCAGGGGTCTTTTCACAGTCCCCAAATCCAGAACAAATTCAAGAAAGCATACAGTATTATAGAGAGCCATTATTGCATGAAACTCTGTTCCATCTCATATTGCTCAAACAGCAAACCTGGTTTAAAAAACAGATAAAGCAACACCTCGCGGCACAACGCCTCTCCCCTATTTGACCTAGATAGTTTGTGTGTATTGATATGTAGGCTATGTGTGCCTTTAAAAATGTTTTATGTAGTCCTGTCCTTGAGCTGTTCTTGTCTATTAATGTTCTGTATTATGTCATGTTTCATGTTTTGTGTGGACCTCAGGAAGAGTAGCTGCTGCTTTCGCAACAGCTAATGGAGATCCTAATAAAATACAAAAAAAGAATGTGTTGTTTGAACAGGTATAAAGCAAAGGTTGGCGATTTACTGACCCATTTTATGGATTGTTTGCTCAGGAGTATACTCAGAGGAAGAAGTGACGCGGGAGGGTTTACTCCACCCAAAATCTGTCCATGAAAAATAAGCCCACGAAGTGAGGAATTTTTTTATGGAGGTCAATGAGTGTTGAATTTAGTCAACCCAAAAATGCTATTGCTAATTTGGTACGTGACGCTTATTCGATCAAACATAAGTTTCTTAATGGTTAGGTTGTTAAGAATGCACTGATGGTAGGCCTCCTGTAGCTCAGTTGGTAGAGCATGGTGCTTGCCAACGCCAGGGTGATGGGTTCGATACCCACGGGGGGCCAGTATGAAAAAATGTATGCACTCACTAACTGTAAGTTGCTCTGGATAAGAGCGTCTGCTAAATGACGTAAATAGACACGTTGCACTTCGGTAATGCAAACATCTTTATCAGTTGTGCCTGTTTTCATAGAGGTCTCATGGACAGTGGATGTATTCATGGTTGCCAAGGGAAGCCAGGCTTCCCCAAATATTTGACCGATAAAATAATTTATCTTTCGTCTCTTGTGTTTTCATAACTTTCCGTAAATTCACAAGTTGCTGAATCTCACCGGAGAAATCATCCAAGCGAGGGAAACAGCGGCCCTCTGTCTCAGTATGTGTATCTGATGCTGTCTGGACCTAAAGAGCATGACATGTTGCCACCGTAGCATTTGATTGATGCCAGCGTGAATTTGGCCTTTTCCTCCCAAATAAGAGAATTAGCCAATCAGCGTTGAGCGGAACTCAACTGTGCGTTGTCCTGGTGCAACCATAAATTAATATATTGTGCCTCTGTCCTGAGACGATTGACGGTCAATATGTAGCCTAGTAGGCTCACGTTAACTAGCTAGCTAAGTGCACTAGCTGGTGCATTGTTGTCCACGGGAGGAACTGTAGGCTAGTATCAAGCATTGTAGTTAGGCAACCTATGACAACAAAAACTAAAAGTGTACTGTATCACAGAGCCATAGATCGTTTTGCCAACTAGTCTACAAGTAGGGTGTCAACTTTTGTTTTACCTGTACACACAGAAATCAGCCACATGGACAGACATGATTTTTTAGCAACATTGATTGGACTTAATTGTTTTTGGTATCATTAAGTTTGTTTCCAGTATGCTAGCGGTCATGAGGGAACATATTGTGGAGGAGGTGAAGTCGGCGAACTTCGTAGCTATCCAAGCTGACGAGACCACGGACGTTTCTACACAGACACAGCTGGTGTTTGTGCTGAGGTACATAGATAGCAACCACAAAGTGCAGGAGCGCTTTTTTGAGTTCCTTCCCATTTCGGAATCAACCTCAGTCTCAATCGCCAGTGTGCTTTTGGAGAGACTGAACAGTATTTTTGCCGACGACGAGAAAGTCAAACTGTGGTGCACTGGCACTGTACCAGGTTCTCATGAGCTACAACCTCCAGGAGACGTTCTCTGAGACTGTGACTCTGTTGAACATCCTCATAACTACTCCAATGACACAAGCTGATCTGAGAGATGTTTCTCAACTTTGACACGAGTTAAGACATTCCTGCGAAATTCAATGGGCCAGGAACGTCTGAATGCACTGGCCATGCTTTCCATGGAGAGGGAACTAGTCCTCAGCATGCCTGATTTCAATGAGAAAGTCATTGACCGCTTTGCTGCATTGAAAGAGAGAAGAGAACAGTTTCAGTACAAGTAATGTAGCCTCTCTCTCTCTTTGTCCCTCCCTGTCTGTCTCTTTAACACACACACGCCCAAATCAGTTCACAGTTGATGTTGTTTAAAATAGTTATTTTTCATTTTTTTTAAAGTAAAAAAAATTAAATAATCTGTTCATGTTCATTTTTACAAATCTATACAATTGGCCAGAATATGGTTGTTCATATTTACAAATCTATACAATTGGCCAGAATATGGTTGTTCATTTTTACAAAGCCATACAGATAGCTGTGTTTACCTTTTCTATAAATTATTTTCAAATTCTGTTTTCAGGCAAAATGTCTATCACTGTTCATTTTCACAAATATATACAAGAGGGCAGAATATGGAAGTCTATAAAAATTTCTTATTACCAATAACTTGCATCAATGTTTTCAGTAGCCTCTATCAAAAGCTCCTGCTTGCTTGTTGTGAATTATGCTCAGGTGCACATATTTCCAATTCAACCATGAGGCAAAAAATGTGGTAAAAGCTCTTGTTGATCCTGCAATCTGAACAAATACCAAGATGCTGTATTTTCAGCTGATATTTCATTTGTTTATGGAAATGCATATTGTTTATGCAGTGTTGAGGAATGTGAAAGAACACCCTTGATTATTTTTACTGTGATAACTTATTTTGCTTTTGTAAGCCAACACTTTTGAGATCAGTCAATAAATGCTTCTGGTATTGACTTATATGCTGCCCCTGTCTTCATGTTGTTGCTGGACATATCTTTTTGAAAATGTGTGTAGGTCACCTAAATCATCAGAAAAATTGCCCCCCCTGAGAATTTTTTCAGGAGCCGCCACTGGGTAACTCGATGGTTCTAAATTAGTAGATTAGTAAACTGTTGAAAACATTAACTTGCTTGGCCAATACTGCAGGTGATAGAACTGTTGGTTACCTGCAATATTTGCTTTGTGGACTTCACCAGATGTTGCTCTCCGGTTTTGTGATGAAACAAACGTATGTGTAGTTGAATTTATTCCGCCACTGTGTGACTCGTCTTTGTCATAGCCTTCTTGTAGATTTACATTTTAGTCATTTAGCAGACGCTCTTATCCAGAGCGACTTACAGTTAGTGAATACATATATATATTTTTTCATACTGGCCCCCCCGTGGGAATCGAACCCACAACCCTGGCGTTGCAAATGCCATGCTCTACCAACTGAGCTACATCCCTGCCGGCCATTCCCTCCCCTACCCTGGACGACGCTGGGCCAATTGTGCGCCGCCCATGAGTCTCCCGGTCGCGGCCGGCTGCGACAGAGCAGAACAGATCATGGAGGAGTATGAATCAATGGGTTATAGAGCAAACAACGCAATTATCACAACACAGGTTGTAATATGGCTTTTTCACTGGCTTGGCTTCCTCAGTGATTTTACCCACGCACCGCATTAATATAACCAGTTTTAACATAAACATTGAGGGCTTCCACTATTTTAATGTGGTCAACTGGGTGGGGATTCCTATGAGTTGGGCGTAATCAGACAATTAAGAAAATGTACTACTTTAAAAATGGAGATACTCAACGGAGCTGCCGATGCAGTCACAACGGTAAGTCCTCCATCCATCTATATTGACTGTTCACAATCTGCCCTCATTAGCTAGATGCCTGACAACCCACATGGAATCATGCGATCCCGACTTCACCCACAGGAAGTCCCACCCAGGTGATTACTTCCGTGACCGGGAGACCCATGGGGCGGCGCACAATTGTCCCAGCGTCGTCCAGGGTAGGGAATGGCTGGCAGGGATGTAGCTCAGTTGGTAGAGCATGGCATTTGCAACGCCAGGGTTGTGGGTTCGAACCCACGGTGAGGGGCAGTATGAAAAAATAATGTATGCACTCACTAACGGTAAGTCGCTCTGGATATGAGCGTCTGCTAAATGACTAAAATGTAAACGGTGCTTCCATGCTAGAACAGGCTTTAGGGCACTAGAGTACACCATCTATGGTATGACATCACTGAGAAATATCCTTTAGAACAGTGGGAGCCATGTCGGCCGAGCAGCTATATTCTGACTAGACCCATAAGGAACGAGATGCCATGTTAGGAAAAGGCTGGACAGGCTGTTTCTGCAAGACCCCATGTGAACTAATAGTTATAAAAATTATACAGTGCATAACAATTTCTAAAACCCCATGCAGTCAACTTTCATTTGGAATTTAGACTGAACGGTATGTTGAAGTACACGCAAGAGGTGACTAGAAGCCTCATTACCAATCCGTTTCATTATCAACTTTACCCAAAAATCAAATCACACAGATCAGTTCCAAGATTTCACTTTATTCAGCAGATTTCAATGAACCTTTCATATTTGTTCTCTGCCATCGAAAGGGAGGGGCCAGTGTTGTGGCCAGCCCTTCTGCCTGTGGCGGAGGTTAATCTGGCACTGGAATGAGACAGGAGAGCCAGGGAGATGGCAAACCTGGCACTAGACAGTGCTGCGGCAGCAAAAAGACCAACTAAACAAAACCCTATTGGAAGATTACACTCGTCAACCCCCATTTAAACCACTAAGGAAGGCCCTTATTGCAACCATCTCAAAACTCACAAACAGCCCATTCACAGATTTGAATGTGCTTCAGCCAACTCAGTTGAATAACTGTCAAGTTTGCTGAAGCACATTCAGAATTGAACCAGACTACTAAAACCAACCGTGTCCAGGAATCAAAACTGAATCAGTTTAGTTAAATCAAAAACGTACTCTACAGTAGTCAACCACCCAAGATCATAACGCTAAAAGAAAAAAGACCTTGACAGCGATGTGGGATGTTTGTTTTTATTGATGTAGTATCAAACTGCTGTACACTATTTGCCCTTCTTGGCCTTGATTTTCCTCAGGTAGAACTCCAACTCCTTGCCCTCCAACACGTAGCCGTCGACCCGGCCGCACTGGCCCGGCTTGGAGGCAATGCAGGCTGCAGGGAGGGAGAGAGAGGAGAGCCTTAATGAAAGTGGAGAAAGGAGGGAGAGAGAGCGGCGGAAAAGCCAAGACATGGATATTACCAAGTCAAAAGACAAGCGCACCAACTAGCAAGTAACAGAAGTCCCCATCAGAAAATTGGTAAGGCGTATCGTCGCTGAGGATTCAGTAGGATCTCATCATGAACCTTGTAAAGCAGAGTTCCAGACCCACAGGGTGTGCAAGTCGTGCCATTAAATTGAGTCAATTAGGTGTTAGTGCTAGGGAGGAACCTAAGCCTGCACATCCTGTGTGGCCCCCCCCCCCCCCAAGTCTAATTCCGAGACCTACAGGGCGAGCAGGCTTTTGTTCCAGCCCTACACCATCACACCCGATTCAGCCAGTTCTGAAAACCACGATTAGAGCCACTCACGTATGTTAGTGGTGGTCTGGAACCAAAGCCTGCACACTCAGTACCAGAATATGGATCGAAGAACACTGCTATAATTAGGACCTGGGCCTGTATCCACAAAGCTCAGAGTAGGTGTGCCTTTTAATAAGATATCCGATTCGGACAGACCCTAGAACCTCCTACTCAGACGCTTTGTAGATCCAGGACGTCCAGGAGTGTTTCCCGGGCCGGCAGCGCTAACCAGTAGAGGCTGTGGACTCACCAAGGAGTTTCCCCTGCATGAACTGTTCCTCAAGGAGAGAGCTGATTTTGCAGTTCTTCTTGCGCTCGTCAAACTTCTTCTGGATCTTCTTCGACCTCTTCTTGTTAATCACTTCCTCCTCCTCAGGAGTCTTAACACAGGAAAGACAGATTGCCGTTAGGCGATTAAATGGGCACAATGCTGCAATATATATCCTGTGATTGAATAGTGCAGCTGCCCCTGGTAAGAGCACTAGTAATTTAGCTGCAAAATCAGAACATCCCATTCAACAGTACATTTAGTGTCACTCAGTTAACTTGCCTTGTAATAAAAATCACAAATATCGATCAGTCATTCAGTAGCAGAACTGGACAAAAGGTATCTTCATAGAAGACCAGAGATCCTAATCAACATTATGGACAAACATGAATTTTCACATCTCTGGACAATAGTGCACTAGGTAAGACAAAGGTTACCATTTGGGACACAACAGCCGTAGCCGTTGTCAGCCTTACGGCAAAAGGTTTAAGAAACAGGGCTCCATTTGGGAGCCAATCTGTTGACTGGTACATAGCAGAAAAAGCGCTTGTAGCAGTGTAAGGAAATACAGGCTACATTTGGGACAGTCTTGTACGCACCAGCTTGGCTCCTTTCTTGCGTCCCAGAGGAGTGGCGAAGTGGGCCTCGTACCACTGCCTGTAGGGCAGGCTGTCCACGAGGACGATGCAGTTCTTCACCAAGGTCTTGGTTCTCACCAACTCGTTGTTTGAGGCGTTGTACACCACATCAATTATCCTGGTTTTACGAGTGCAGCCTGAAGAATAAAGTGTGTCAATACCACCAAAATGCTGTGAAATTACTGGAGTTTTGAAACATTTTGCTTCAACGGCAGCCTGGAGAATGAACACAAGGACCATTAGATTTCAGGTAGCATTAAAAATGCTAAAGACGGGGTGAAATTGAGTTCAATCACAAAAATGTTTGGTTTTAATGAGTGAATCTAGCTTTAGTCTTTCTCAGAGTCATGAATATCGTCACAAGCATTCAGTAGCAGAACTGGACATGGATATCTTCATGGAAAGACTTCAGCTCATCCAGCTGAGGGGAATAGTGATGATCTTAAAGAACATGCCAGAGCGAGGAGAGACTTACACTCAGAGCCCCAGGAGAAGTTGCCCACGTCAACCCTCAGAGCGCGGTACTTCTTGTTGCCACCGCGGGTCCTCACCGTGTGAATACGACGGGGTCCAATCTAGGACATGGGGAAAGACGGGCAACATTTGTTTTAGTAGAAACCAAAAATACATAAGAGTAAATTAATTGCATTATGTGCATAGGGATACCAAGTGGCTACACGTGTCCCATTGTTCGGCATCGGTGTGTCAGTGTAATAACTATGACAGTCCGGGTCATTGGTAGGTCCTTAAAAATTGAACCAAAACGGCCAAAACAGACCTACCTATGGTCAATGTCTAATCATCCACACCGCATGAAATCCACACTCCCATTGAACTAGCTACTACTCCACATTCCCCTACCGACATCACCACAGGCAACAAGTCTAGATTGAGTTACTATAGCTTAGTCGACCCCGTAGCATCACTACAGGTGGTCGGTGTAGTCGTTACCTTGGTGTTAGCTGGAGGACGACCCAGCTCATACTTCCTCTTCTTGTGATAGGGCTTTCGTTTGCCGCCGGTCTTGCGGCGTTTATGCCAGTTGTCCCTAGAGATACCTGGGTCACAGAAGCAAGACACTGGTGAGGAAGGCGCAAACTCCGCCGAATTAACCTAACCAAGCAGTTACTTTCACGTGCTTTTGAGTGTCAGTTCTCCAAGGTGGTTATCCGCACAGTAATCTCGGAAACCTAGTTGTCATCATATTCACTCAAGCACACAGATTCTCCGAATAGAGGTTCCCCTTACGTGGAACTTACCAGTAGGCCTATGGTCTCAAGTATCCCTAGGGGTCCTAGTGACGCTGGTTGGGAACCACTACAACTACACATGGCTCGCCTGCGCCAGCGTGGTTGTGAGTAGCCATTAGCATAGTGTCAGCGAGATAAGAGTAGCCAGCTGACATACTACCTAGTCTAGTTAGACACTGAACACAGTCTAGTAGATAAACTTCCTAACCATGCAGATTTAGCCGCGATGCATTAGTTGAAACGTAATCAATTCAGTGAGCGAAAACGTGGAAGACGTCCGAAGGCCTAGCGCTAGCTAATCATTGCAACATCACTAACTAGCTAGTTAACGAGGAATCGCAAGCAATATTTCAACCAAACAATTCAACACAGAAAGGTATATTAACGCTAATGGGATAAAATAGACTAAGAAACAGACATTACAAGAGACTGAGTGAAATTCGAGAATTATTTGCAAATTACGCTCAATTGCAAGTCAAAGGTAGACTAGCCCATGAGAGCCGCCATCTTGTTACATGTCAGACATTGTTTTACAATAATTCCGTTTTAAAAAGTATCAATTGGCTTATTCGTACAATTTAACAACATAACCGTTTATATTAAGATACACTTTAACATGCCAAACCATCATAGATATAGTCCTGATGTAAACAACTGATGGACAAGGATTCTTGCAGCGACCCGAAGATGAAAACACGTACCCATTCTCAGGCGCCGGCTGGAAAGAGAACACGCAAGCGCTCATGGGGAAGTTTCAAGGTGTCAGATATCGCGAGATTATCAGAGCAGCTCTTCTTCGGATATCTCCAAATGCAGTTTAGCAACCTGTAAATTGGACTACCGCCATCTATGTGTGACCAGACTGTGCACCACCCAGGATAAACTTGAAAGCCCCAAAATGATTACTGATGCGATTCAACGGACAGGTGGCTGAAAGGGGATTATTTTCGCCAGAACTGAATCTCCCATAAATTGTGAATCGGCCCTATATGCCTCATTCGCTGCGTTTACACAGGCAGCCCAATTCTCATATTTTTTTTCCACAAATTGGTCTATTGACGAATCACATCAGATCATTTTACATCTGTTGTTTTTACCCAGAGGTGGTTGGTCATAAGACCAATTAGCGAAAAAAATATCAGAATTGGGCTGTCTGTCTAAACACAGCCACTGTGTGAAAAGGTTAGGCTTTTAGACTAGTATAGCTATTCTAAGAAATAGTTTTTATAACACTAGTCTGCCCTCTTCAGATTCAAGAAAACATAACATCTCAAACATGTTTTTTGTTAATTCATTTGAATATTCCCCTTATTATGAGGAGACATAAAAGACAACCAGAAGTAATGTATATTACATTTCACATGAGTTTATTATGTACAGTACACAAAACTCCTCGCTCTAAGTTTACAAGTAGTATTTTCTGAGATCTTGTTCTGAACGCTGCATAAATACGGGTTGGCCAGGGGCGTGGTCTAAGACTGATATAGAGGCAGGGGGTGGCTGGAGTTTGGCCAGGGGGCGTGGTCACTCCTCCCAGGGACTCATGTCAGTGTCGATGGCGACACAGTTGTAGCGCAGCTTGTCCTCACACACTGCAGGGGACAGGGCACAGACAGTTAGGTTATTAGATAACCTTAAATCAAATAACTTTGGTATTTTATGGTTGTGTGCTGCTCTCGTGTGCTTCATTCTGTAGCTAGAGGACTCCTGATATCTCAAATTTTGTGTCTTTGTCTGTTCTGGTCTAGTACTGTCTTGTTGCTAGCTAGGGCCATCTACTTTAAGTACTGCCTGTCTTCCCAGTGGCCTACTTGTGAACTGCTGACTGCTCATAATTTGCAGATAGTTGTTGACACATCAACCAGGATCAGGGGGCAATTTGTGACTTGTTTTTGGTAATCAGTGTCTGTATTGGAGGGGGAGTGGTTTCTCCCCTCATAGGCAATCAGCAATTAGTACAGGGAGGTGTGCTCTCCACCTCTGCTAGGCAATTAGCGATAGCTGTAAGTGGCGGTTTAGTCACAAAACTAAGACCGTCGCTGAAACAAGATCGTTGTGTGGAGTTATTCGGGGAAGGAAAGAGTGGAAGCCTCCACCTTCTCACTTGAGTATCGTACCTAGTTATTTTCAGATTTCATTTTTGCTCTTTTTGTAGCTTTGGCAACTGTGTGTGTTTTCTATACCTGTCTGCACCCCTCCCTGAAGGCTTTACAGACGCTCCCCACCCCTTGGCTGAAACCCTTTTAATTTAGTGTACCCTGCAGCGCACAACCATGTGGAATTCCGGGTTTCTGGCAGCGTTTGGAACTGCCAATCTGCGGTCAAGAACGCAGAGTTCATCTCAGCCTATGCTTCCCTTCAGTCCCTTGACCTTTTGGCCCAAGTTGCTCCCCTCTTCAAGAAACCAACACTCGACCTCTCTGATGTCAAAAACTATAGACCGATATCCCTCTCTTTTCTCTGATCAACTCTTTTGTTATCTCTCTCAGAACGATCTTCTTGACCCTAACCAGTTAGGCTTCAAGACGGGTCACTAAACCGAGACTGCTCTTCTGTGTCACAGAGGCTCTACTCTGCCAAAGCTGACTCTCCTCTGTTCTCATCCTCCTAGATCTATCCACTGCCTTCGACACCGTGAACCATCAGATCCTCCTCTCCACCCTCTCAGGGCTGATCCTCCTCTCCGCCCTCTCAGGGCTGATCCTCCTCTCCGCCCTCTCAGGGCTGATCCTCCTCTCCGCCCTCTCAGGGCTGATCCTCCTCTCCACCCTCTCAGGGCTGATCCTCCTCTCCCCCCTCTCAGGGCTGATCCTCCTCTCCACCCTCTCAGGGCTGATCCTCCTCTCCGCCCTCTCAGGGCTGATCCTCCTCTCCGCCCTCTCAGGGCTGATCCTCCTCTCCACCCTCTCAGGGCTGATCCTCCTCTCCACCCTCTCAGGGCTGATCCTCCTCTCCGCCCTCTCAGGGCTGATCCTCCTCTCCACCCTCTCAGGGCTGATCCTCCTCTCCACCCTCTCAGGGCTGATCCTCCTCTCCACCCTCTCAGGGCTGATCCTCCTCTCCGCCCTCTCAGGGCTGATCCTCCTCTCCGCCCTCTCAGGGCTGATCCTCCTCTCCACCCTCTCAGGGCTGATCCTCCTCTCCCCCCTCTCAGGGCTGATCCTCCTCTCCGCCCTCTCAGGGCTGATCCTCCTCTCCGCCCTCTCAGGGCTGATCCTCCTCTCCGCCCTCTCAGGGCTGATCCTCCTCTCCGCCCTCTCAGGGCTGATCCTCCTCTCCACCCTCTCAGGGCTGATCCTCCTCTCCACCCTCTCAGGGCTGATCCTCCTCTCCGCCCTCTCAGGGCTGATCCTCCTCTCCACCCTCTCAGGGCTGATCCTCCTCTCCACCCTCTCAGGGCTGATCCTCCTCTCCACCCTCTCAGGGCTGATCCTCCTCTCCGCCCTCTCAGGGCTGATCCTCCTCTCCGCCCTCTCAGGGCTGATCCTCCTCTCCACCCTCTCAGGGCTGATCCTCCTCTCCACCCTCTCAGGGCTGGGCGTCTCAGGCTCTGCACACTCTTGGATTGCATCCTACCAGGCAGGCTGCTCTTACCACCAGGTGACGTGAAGAGGATCTGTGTCTGCACCACGTACTCTCACTACTGGTATCCCCCAGGGCTCGGTTCTAGGCCCTCTCCTCTTCTCTCTATACACTAAAGTCACTCAGCTCCGTCATATCCTCACATGGTCTCTCCTATCATTGCTATGCGGATGACACTCAACTACTTTTCTCCTCCCCCCCCCTTCTGACACCCAGGTGGCGACACTCACCTCTGCATGCCTGGCAGATATCTCAGCTTGGATGTCGACCCACCACCTCAACCTCGACAAGACAGAGATGCTCTTCCTCCCGGGGAAGGCCTGACGCTCAAAGACCTCTCCATCACGGTTGACAACTCCAGTGTCACCCTCCCAGAGTGCAGAGAACCTTGGCGTGACCCTGGACAACACCCTGTTGTTCTCTGCAAACATCAAAGCAGTGACTCTCTCCTGCTCTACAACATCCGTAGAGTACGACCCTACCTCACACAGGAAGTGGTGCAGGTCCTAATCCAGGCACTTGTCATCTCCTGTCTGGACTACTGCAACTCGCTGTTGGCTGGGCTCCCTGCTTGTGCCATCAAACCCCTGCAACTTATTCAGAACGCTGCAGCCCACCCGGTTTTTAACCTTGCCAAGTTCTCCCATGTCACCCCGCTCCTCCGCACACTCCACTGGTTTCCAGTCGAAGCTCGCATCCACTACAAGACCAAGGTGCTTCCCTACGTACAGTGGCTTGCGAAAGTATTTACCCCCCTTGGCATTTTGCCTATTTTGTTGCCTTACAACGTGGAATTAAAATTGATTTTTTGGGGGGGGTTGTATCATTTGATTTACACAACATGCCTACCACTTTGAAGACGCAAAATATTTTGTATTGTGAAACAAACAAGAAATAAGACAAAAAAACAGAACTTGAGCGTGCATAACTATTCACCCCCCCAAAGTCAATACTTTGTAGAGCCACCTTTTGAAGCAATTACAGCTGCAAGTCTCTTGGGGTATGTCTCTATAAGCTTGGCATATCTAGCCACTGGGATTTTTGCCCATTCTTCAAGGCAAAACTGCTCCAGCTCCTTCAAGTTGGATGGGTTCCGCTGGTGTACAGCAATCTTTAAGTCATACCACAGATTCTCAATTGGATTGAGGTCTGGCCTTTGACTTGGCCATTCCAAGACATTTAAATGTTTCCCCTTAAACCACTTGAGTGTTGCTTTAGCAGTATGCTTAGGGTCATTGTCCTGCTGGAAAGTGAACCTCCGTCCCAGTCTCAAATCTCTGGAAGACTGAAACAGGATTTCCTCAAGAATTTCCCTGTATTTAGCGTCATCCATAATTTCTTCAATTCTGACCAGTTTCCCAGTCCCTGCCGATGAAAAACATCCCCACAGCATGATGCTGCCACCACCATGCTTCACTGTGGGTATGATGTTCTCGGGGTGATGAGAGGTGTTGGTTTTGCACCAGACATAGCTTTTTCCTTGATGGCCAAAAAGCTCAATTTTTGTTTCATCTGACCAGAGTACCTTCTTCCATATGTTTGGGGAGTGTCCCACATGCCTTTTGGCTTATTTTTTCTTTAAGCAATGGCTTTTTTTCTGGCCACTCTTCTGTAAAACCCAGCTCTGTGGAGTGTATGGCTTAAAGTGGTCCTATGGATAGATACTCCAATCTCCGCTGTGGAGTTTTGCAGCTCCTTCAGGATTATCAATGGTCTCTTTGTTGCCTCTGATTAATGCCCTCCTTGCCTGGTCCGTGAGTTTTGGTGGGCGGCCCTCTCTTGGCAGGTTTGTTGTGGTGCCATATTCTTTCCATTTTTTAAATAATGGATTTAATGGTGCTCCGTGGGATGTTCAAAGTTTTGGATATTTTTTTATAACCCAACCCTGATCTGTACTTCTCCACAACTTTGTCCCTGACCTGTTTGGAGAGCTCCTTGGTCTTCATGGTGCCGCTTGCTTGGTGGTGTTGCAGACTCTGAGGCCTTTCAGAACAGGTGTGTGTGTATATATACTGAGATCATGTGACACTTAGATTGCACACAGGTGGACTTTATTTAACTAATTATGTGACTTCTGAAGGTAATTGGTTGCACCAGATCTTATTTAGGGGCTTCATAGCAAA